CTCTATCGCTTGTTCTCATCGGTTCCTGGTTCGATGTAGCTCGGCAACGAGCACTCGGCGACTCTGGAGACTGATTTTTGGTAAAACGAAACGTTACGCGAGAGCTGGCGCGGTGCATGCCGCGGCGCCTGAACACACGCGTCGCACCAGCCGCGAAATTGCCTTACGACGATGAGGTAATAACGTTTAAACATCGCTCTTCTCTCCCTCTCGGACTGTCGCGCTCAACATCCCTACGTGCCCTGTGTGTACACGCGAGCATATGCACCGATTCGAGGGGGGGCGTATGCGATTGTCTCGAGGAGGGGCAGCTTCCTCTCGATCGGCATTCTTCGAATACGCTACTGTGTAACTCAAATCAAAGCTTACTCTCGCTTCGAGTGGAGCATACTCTCGACGCTTGACGTCGATAAGCGTACATACGGTATCGTTTATAATTACACAGTTTATCAATCATTACTAACACTTGTTACTTTCTCCCATTTTTTTTTGTTCGTTTTTTCATTTCTCTGTAACTCTCTCTCTCTAATTACACGCAAGATTCGTTAACTCTAACGTCGATACAGTAATCTTCATTCTTGCTGAATGAAACAAGAACGAACGAACGAACAAGGACGCATGTTCGGACGCTCGACTAGGAAAATTATCAACGATACAGCAGGTACACTTTCTTTTCTTCTCGTTCGTCGTGTTGACTTTACAAAGAGTATCTGTCATGTTCATTTCTCCTTGCGTTTCTTCCTCTCACTTCTTATCTTTTCCTCTTTTTCTTTCTTTCTTTTTTCCACCGGTGTGTCGTCGTCGTCGTAGCGAGAGACGAGAACGAAAAGTTAGAAGAACAAAATTACAATGGAAGAAAGTTCTGTAACTAAATATCGCGTTAGATGCCGACGTGCCGACGCCATCTTCGTCGATCGCGGCTACCATTCTACCCCGTGTGTGCCACTTCTCCTTCGGTTCTTAGCCCATCGATATTATTTTCTACATTGTCGAATTCCTGTTCTGTGGTTAAATATATTTTCTCTCATTCGACGTTCACCGAACACCATTGACGATGCATACACGCCAATGGAAACATATTTCTGTTTCCATTCTTCCGCATTTTCTCCTGTTTTTTTTTTTT